CTTTCACAGTTGCTGCATTGCAGGCAACTACTGTATTCCTTGATATTTCATGAAGTGTTCAAGTCTACGAAGTTCTTCTGCTGAATTCAATATTTTTTTTGTTAATACATCAGTCAAAACTCAGCTTGCATTTAAAGATACTGGGGTTGGATTTTTGGGGGTGGGGGAGGGAGCAGGTTTCAGTAGGAACCATTCCTGTCTTGCTTAAAAACCAGTTACTTCAGTTTAGTGCCTTTCAGTTGCCTCTTGTACCACTTGTAAGCGGTAGGAGGCCGCTCAGCTACTCAACAAGCTAAAAGACCCCTCCTGTCCTCTGACAGTCACCCAGGTACTTGCTACCTTAACCCTTGCAGCTTCCATTAACTTTTGCAGCTTCACTCCTATCTTGTTAGTGTATTTTTATGTGGGGAATGCTGACAACTCTACAAGGAGTCCCAAACCACTGCGATGAAATGAATCCAGCGTCATTTGTCTTGACGGAGCTAGTTTTCAGAACGTGCACCTAACCCCCTGCTCTCTGTGCCACCCTTTCCAGGTGGAGGTGATACTTGGCATCAAAACAAAGTTAAGTTAACAGGGAGTGCTTAAAAAAAAAGCTGTTCCGGGGCACAAAAGTTAACTTTTTCTCTCCTGTAGTCTCTGAACAAACTCCCTTTCACCTGACTAGACTAGAGCTTGTGTGTGCCATGAGGTAAAAAACCTAAATCTCTGCTGGTAAAGTTGAAAGAAGTAAGGTTCATTGGTTGACTGTAACACTGGTGTACACGTGTGCAACTAGTCTTGTCTGCAGTAGACTTTCATTCTGCAGCCACATCAGCTTGCTGTGGGTGATTGCTAGTCCCAGAGTTTCTTGGCAATGGATTTAAATGAAAGGAACTTACTTGTTCATTAACAAAGATTTGTTTAGGTTTTTTTTTTTCCCCACAAGGCTCTTAAAAGAAAAGGGGTGTAACACAACACAGGAATTAATTGCAAACCTGTATCTTGACTATCAGGGCTGTATTTTCCTTCCAATTGAGGGAACAGATGGAGTGAGGAAGTCGATAGTGTTACATTCAGTTCTTAGGATGGGGAACCACCAGAGGTCATGTGTAGCACCTGAAACAATGCTTTTCAGTTCCTGTCCTGTTCTTCAGCAGTTAAATTATGCTGATTCTCCTGAAGCAAATCTCTAGTTGAAGAGAAATGTTTGCTATTAGTGTTATTAAGAAAACCAAATACATTGGACCAAACGTCTTGCAGTTAAAATAGGGAGGTTTTTTATTTACTGGTTGGATCATGGTCTGTGGCATCTGTATTTACCTCATCTCCCATTTAAAAAAAAAAATGTGCTGTTTTCTGTATTATTTCTCTATTTGTTGTTCGGTATTCTCTATGTTTAAACATGTGCATTTGTATATTAAATTAAATTTTCGGCTGCCTAGTGTGTGACTGTTCTGATCCTGTCTGATGAGAGTGTTGCTACCTGCCAGGTGTTCTTTTACAAAGGAGAGCTGCACCTCATCCCGCTGTCAGAGACCCAGGAGCAGGAATGTGACCTATCTGCCACCACTCTGACAGTCTCGCAGGCGGTGACGCTGTTGTCCACCTGTTCAGAGGAGTTCCTGGCTGCAGAGCCCATCCCAACAGCAGTGTAGAAGCGCATCAGTGGGTATGTGGGTGTTTCACTTTGGTCTTGTGCAACAGTGAGTTTTGATTCTGGGCTGTCTGGGGTGCTTTCTTGTATCCAGTCGTTTTCCTGTTAGGTGTGATAAAGTGGCTTCCTTTTCAGAAACTAGTGTTTTTTCTGTGGTCTTCTTCTGAAGAGGGGGACCAGTGCCCTGTGGGCTGTGCTGTGATCTGGGGGCTCTGGAACTGGTTCACTGCTGTGATGCCACACCTGACAAGGACAAGTTATTCTGCCTTCACATCCTTCTTGTACTGAAAAGTCTGGAAGTTCTGTGGGCCTTTAGGAGCCCTTTGAGGAGGGAGAAAAAGGATTGCAAACTAAAGCGTAGAACCATCACGCTTTTCAGAGCGATAGCTTCCCACAGGTCTATTCAGCACCACAAGTTATTTTTTGCAAGGATTTGACAGCACGAGCCAGATGACTTCTACACCCGGTGCAGTGAAGGATGCTGTGTAGTAGGACATGTTAGTCAAGTTCACAGTGATTCATTTTACCAATGTGGGGATGAAATTTTTATTAGCCATGTATAGTTCTGTATAAACAGACATGCCAGGTGTTAGATTAGCGGAGTTTTAACTTTAGTTTAGAATAATCATCTGGCATTTGGCCCATAATACAGATTAGTATTAAAGTGAAAATGGGAATATTAGCTTAAAGAGTGGTTTCAGCTTGCGATGCACTTACTACACTATGTTGTTATTGTACAATGCAGGTATCCTGAGAAAATTCAGGCCTCATTTCACCGAGCCCACTGCTACCTTCCAGCAGGCATTGTGGCAGTGCTGAGGCAGTGCCCTTCGTTGGTGGCTGCAGCAGGCCAGGCCTTTCACCTGCGAGAGCCTGTGGATTTACGAGCATGTGGCTCTTTTCAGACTTTCCCTCCAGACGAGCGTGTGGTGACCATAGTAAGTGATCCTTCTGATGAAACTTGTCACTGAATTAGGTTCTGTAAGTGAGGAAGGTTCTGTGGTCAAGTGATACAACTATGTGGATTTAATTGTTAAAATAGAATGTTTTCTGATTTATTTTTTAATTTTGACACTAGACATGCATTTCCCGTTCTTTATGTTAAATAGCTTTTCTGCCTTCAGATTGGCATAGCTAGGCTTTCAAATGGCTAATCAGAAGTGCTTCTGAAATCAGAGGTTACTGTTAGTAGCTCCTCTGCTGGAATGCTCGCTAAGGAAATTCATCCAGTTCCGTGATCAGAGCAGTCTGACAGCACTGCCAGCCAACACCAGGAGTTGCTCCTAACTACCCCTAGGTGTTCATTCCAAGGCTTTTCCCCTTCTCAGCCATGCTTACGCAGCTCTGTGAAAGCTACTTTAGGAAGTGGTTTATGTTCCTTGTCCAAGCAGTGTTGTATTGGATATGTTTGCATAACAGAGTTATACCGCTAGGCTCCTGAAAATAAATTTGGGAGTCAAATTGTAGATTTCTTGACTGTTTTTGAAATCTTGGCTTTGGTTTTGTTAATTGAAAAGAGCCCTTACATTTTTGAAAATATACCACGTTGGCCTGAATACTGGGGATCTTTTCAAATGTCTTTAAAGTGAATGAAGTTCGTGTTTATTTAGAGATGTCAACTTGGAATATACTTCATTAGATCTGAAAAGCAACATATCTTAAGCAAACGTATCGAAGATGTATTTTGATTACAATCTCAGGTATATGGGTGATTTAAAACAAAATTCAGAGAAAGCTGGTGGAAAGTTGATGCCTGTACACAGCACAGTCACACTGCAGTAAGTTATTTTCTTTTGCTGGGGCTTTTTCAGGTTACTTCACAGTGTGTTTATATGCACAGTTGGTGCAGCAGAAGTTTGTTCTGGATAGATGCAGTGGATACACGCTGCCCCTCCCATCTCACCCTCAATACAAAGCCTATGAACTGGGCATGAAGCTGGTAATTACTTTTTATGCATTTTGTACTTAGTCTTTAGTTTGCTTGTTTACCTATGTCCAAGAAATTACTCTGCTTGTAAGTTGCCTGCTTGTACAGAATAATGCGAGCAAATTCAGTTACCATTTTTCTGGAAGTACATTATTGTGGGAGCTTTCTTTTACAGGCTAGAGCACTCTTGTACTTGTATAGCTTACAAGTACAGGTCAAGCCTTCATGCTTGTATGAGGAGTAGCTTGTGCACTACAGACCTGTCTTCTAGGTTGCTTTTCCCATGTAGAGAAACTTTGCGAAGTCAGAATGAACCATTATTGCTGCAGAAGGACAGATTTCAACTTCCAAAGCAAGATACTGCTCCCTGATATATAATTGGGTTTGGCATCTACTTCTCAAGTGGCAGTATCAGGAGCTCGATGGCAGTCAGTTCTTTACGCGGTCATTTAAAGGTGCACTTAAATTTGGCACATCTGGAGAGTCTCATGTTGTTGCATCTCTTATACCGGCCCATGGCTTTGAAATTTTGTGCTCCAAGTGCAGTAAAGTATCTCCTGATTCCAAGAGAAATGTGTTAAGCGGTCCCCTGTGGGCGAGATTCCTCAGCAACCTGAAGGAAAAGAATTATTTCAAGGTGTAGTTGTGTGTGTGTGTGTTTGTCTTTTAAACATGCCAGGAAAAACATGTTGTAGCTCTTGAACTTGTGTAAGTAGTTACAGCAGGGCAAGAAATCTGTTGCTTCTGTCTGTGGGAAATTAATGGATGTCTCTCCAGGAGATCTGTGCAGTTTGTTCCCCTTTGAAATGAGTTAATTTCTTTTGGAAATTAAAAAGGAAAAGGCAGGATTCATCTAAAGAAAGTGGAAATACACTCGAATAAAGGAAACCACAGTGTGGCTGTGTGTCAGTATAACTGTTTTAACTGTTTTAGATTTCATTTGCATGCATTTAGAATTAAATATTCTTTAAGATCTATACTTAACACCCATCGATACATTTGGGGCCATGTAAGTGTATTTTTTGTTTGTGTGGGGTTTTTTGTTTTGTTTTAAAAGATGCCTTTGACTGCTTATTTAAAGTTTACAAATTGGTCATAAATTGACTACTTATTTGAAGGTTATTAGAATCGGACAACTGGGAATGCTTAGGTTAATATCTTGTAAATATAAGAGAAGGGGAATATGCTTACAGTACTGCAATGCCACTCGTATGGGTAGTTCCCCAAAACCAAGAGATTCATTCACAATCCTTGCACAATTGTAACTTGGGCATGGTAAATACACCGTGTTGTAAGGATCAGTAATTTCTTCGATTGTTTTTAGTGTACACCATATGATATTGTAGCACAAGACTTCAACTCATATTTAACAGTGAAAACACCTTATGCCCCTTTCCTATATTCTGTTCCAAGCATATGTGGCACAGCAGTATTACTTGTTTGGATTTTTCTCAGAACTAAATTTCTGTCTGACAAATAGTCATTGTTACAAAGCATGTCTGTGGAAAGGAAGGGGAGGGAGAATTCTTTAGATTCATACTTGTGGCTTGCATTAAATAAGGAGAAATGGAAGGATCTGCTAAATACTTGGAACTGCTTCACAGGGCAGAAGATTACTTCCAACAGTCTGTTACCAAGCCAGAAAGGTAAGAGATCCTTGAAATTCATGAGTAACCATACACAGTACCTGCAAGTACTTCAATTTACCTTTTTTAATACTTGTTACAAAAAACCTGAACCCTTTTCTCCACTGTACACTTAACATAGGTGCTGTGGCTAAGACATAGGGGTATTAATTCCTCTAGAATACTCTACTAGTAGAAGTTACTGCTTGAGTAACTATTTATCTTGGTTTTGTAAAATGCTAAGCTATTCCAAGTGGGTTAAGAGGTGACTGAAAAGCATCATTTGGCTGGTTGGTTGTAGAAAGTGTTTAAAAGCTTAATTGAAAATCAGTCTTAGTGAATAAGAAATATGGATTAATCTATCTCCTTTACTTACGAGAGGCAGCTGGCTGTAGATTTCTCCAAAAGATCAAATCCAAAAAATAAATCATTACAAAAATATCTGAGCGTTTGCCAACTCATAATATCTTGACTGTTAGTTGCTTGAGTTTCCAGTCTTGTGCTGTTTGGGATCTGGCAGTCGTAATGTTTACCAAGACAAAATAAATATAAATAACAAAAGAAGCATGAGAAATTTGCTTTGGAGCCATCAACAAGGAATAACAGTAACTGACTGTGTCATGGTTTGGCTAATACTATTGGTGTAGTATTCTGGTACTTCCCCCAGATTCACTTACCTTTTTGATGTCTTTGCACAGAAGGAATCGTGAGGAATTGGAGTGAAAACTTTCGTGTAGTGTCTGTGATGCCACTGGTATTGTAATGCTAGTAAAAATCCATTTCAGTAAATGGCATTTTTTTCTTCTAGCTCTTTTGAAGTGAGCCCAGGTGATGAAATCTTGACAGTGCTACAGAGAACAACTGTTGATTTGAAGGAATTTGAGAGAGAAGCAGCTTGTGTTCCTCCAGAGGATGGTGAGCCGGATGGGGGGTGGACTATTCCTATCACAAATGAGTATTTGTTGGGGAAGAGGGTGAATGTTCACAGCACTGCACCAGTCTCTTTATTGATTTAGTCTCCTATCATGTGACTGCTGGAGGTGTTATTCATGGGCCATCATTTAAGATTAAGGCAACCAGTTCGTTTGTATAAGCTCGGGGCTGTGAATTGGCGAAATACGCAGTCCAGTTTCTGGTTTGATACCACTAGATTGATAACACCATGCACACTTATACCAGATCAAGTGCTCTGTGTCAACTGGAGACCAGACAGGAGGTATTTAAACATTTAAGAATAATAATAAATCAGTTCCAGTACTGGCAATACAAAGTTAATTACTATCTGGTCTACTCTGATGGCCAATACAAGACCAGCATAAACTTCATATAATAGGTTCTTTTCACTCATGTCACAGGAATGCAGTTGTTGCCAGCATGCAGCACAGGTCACATCTGTATTTCTGAATGATCCCTTAGCATGCAAATCCAACATTCAGCATTAATGATTGTAGTGGATGGTCTCCCTTTATAGTGTAAGCCTTTTCTTCCTTCATTTAGTGGCAGAAGGTTTACCTGTGGCTACAACAATTTCTGCTAGTTTGAAGCTGCATGTAAAGCAGAGTTTACAAAGTAGTCAAATGAAATCAGAACACTCTTCTCAGCCTCTCTCTGCCTTATACCCTGTGTTATTTTGTATCAGCACGAAAACTTAACAGTGCAAAAACAAGCTACAAAATGCTAGCAGTACTCTCAGCCATCTGGAATGGGTTTTGTGGCCATTGTGGGCTGACAGATTTGTGCCGAATAACAAATATGTCCTATATTCTTTCAGATGACAGTTGGCTGGAGATTACAGCAGGTGATCTAGATCAGATGCTGAAGGAGGCAAGGAATGAGTCCCTTCCTTCCTCAAATGGGGAAGAGCAGAAATACGACTTGGAAGCAGTTGCTGAAAGTACGAAGGCTTTTGTATCCAAAGTCTCACCACATGAAGGAGCAGAAATGCCACAGTAGTAGTATTTTTAAGTTTGGTGTGTGGTGTAGAATGTGTTTTCATTCTGCTGTAGCCCTTTGGTTGATTCTGTAATGCACAGAATCAACGTTTGAAAGCGTTCTGCGTAGCAGAGGCCTGAAACAAACCCCTGTTACCAGTGAATATGTAGTTGCTTTTAAACCAATTTGGTCACCACTCTGTCAGTGGTGCAGGTAAAAGTGCTGGAAGCTGTGTTATTTTCCAGCACTCTTACTTAGTTTGGTTTTGTGGTTTTTAAAATTTTTTTAACCCTTTTAAATTGAAGGCTTGGTGTTATTCATTACGATAGCTCTTAGCACTGTTATTAAAATGCATATCTCAAGTTCATTTGTGCTGAAATTTTTCTGCCATGAAGGACTGTTCAGACTAAGATTCTACTGATGAAGCTGTGAAGAAATAAAAATGAAACTTAAGTTGGGGCAACCTGTGAATTAAGACTATTGATTTTTGTGGTACAGTTGAATTTAGATTTCCTGTAGATTAGTATTTTGAATATACTAGGCCTGCTTTTCCACACCTAAAGCACATACTGTACACCTAGAAGCAGGAGCAAAGAATCGAATCACGGTGGATCCCTGTCATTGTTCCCAACAGTGGGAGTGCTAACTGAAGATACCTAACTAGTTAGGCAACAGCAGAATGCCGCTAGATTAAGTGCTGGAGTTAAGAAAGTGTGTGTGACTGTGGTGTGGACAGGCCTTTAATTTTAAAAACCGAAGGGTGAGGTAGGAGCATATTGTCCAAGTTCTTTTTAATAGCTTTAATATTGAGAAAATAAAGCTGTGTAGACTGTATCAAGCGTATAAGGGTCTACTCAATTTATACTCTTAATTGTTTGATCCTTTTTAATTACTGTTAGTGTCAATGTCTGAGTTATAATGTGGACTTTTTTCAGTTATTTAAAAAATAAAGGAACAAAAAAAAACCAACAAAAAAAGGGCAAACCGCTGAGCCTTAAAAGAGACTAGAATGAAGCCTGCGGTGTTCTTTCTAGGCAGGAGACCTCCAAGATTCTCAGCTTTTTAAATCTTTGTATGAGGTATAACACCACCACTTTGTTCCAGAAAGATTCAGGCATGTTTATTTTGGTTCCCTTCGGTGCAATTTTTATTTGACCACAACAAATGGTTAAAGTTGTTGGGTTTATTTTCTCTTTCATGCCAGGAACTCCTCCGGTTGCTGTTTCGTTCCTAGTTCATACAGTCCTCAGACTTCTAAGCACTTCCAAGACCATCAGTTCAAATGTTCCAACTTCAGTCTAGGCTCGAGAGAAATCTGTATGCCGTATGGGTTATGTCTGTGTCAGCTTATGCAAGCCTAAAAGCTTTATTTATTTAAATTTTTTTTTAGATATCAGGTCACCTGTTGAATCCCATGTTACCTTTGATGTAGATTCTTTTACAAAAGCGTTAGACAGAGTTTTAGGTGAGCTTGCTTCTTTGTTTCTTTTGTCAGAATATCTCATGGTTATTTGGCTTTCCTGGGTCATCCATCCGTCACCCATGGTCGCTGTGCTGATTTGTTTGCTATCTGTACTGACACAAAATAATATATATGTAGGGGCAGATTCAGAAGAGCTGGATTCTGATGATCTGGATGAAGAGGAAGAGTTTGATTTCTCGAGTGAGGGTGATGAAGACTTAGATGTGGAAGATCAAAGGCAAGACCAGAAGGTGCCACCTAATGAGCTTATAGGCAGTCTCAAGTCATACATGAGTGAGATGGACAGTGAACTGGCGCATAACAACGTTGGTAAAAGTTTCACCATCCAAAAGAAAGGGGTAAGTATGCCTCGAGTTCTAGTTTGTAGCATAAAGTGTTGAGAGCTTTAGTAGGAAAGAGGAAGTAGACTAAAAGTGATCATTCCGAGTAATGTAATCAAAAACTTGTGTCTTCTAATCATGTGCTAACTGCCGGGCACGGCGAGCCGAGGACCAAAGACACGGCCTCTGGGAGGCCACAAGTCTTTGGCCTCTGCCAGAGCCACTTGGCCGCCCTGTGAGCACAGCCCTGAGGCTCGCCAGGCCCGTCCTGCCCCAGCTGGAGCTGGGTGGCCTCAGGGGATGTTCAGCCCTCCTCTCCCCTCAGCCCTCCTCTCCCCACCAGCCCCAGTTTTTCCCCTGGGCTTTCCCCCCTCTCTTCAGTGAGCACTGAAGCAGTCTAGAGGCCCAGGGCATGCCCTCCTCTTTCTGCCACTTTTAGCAGCTGACACTGCTCTCTGCGCTAGGCAAAAGGCACCAATGACCATTTCCTAACCAAGACAAAAATGCAGACTCTAACAAGCCCCACGAGTCTGCAGAGCCCCACGAAGAAACAGTGAGGAAGGAGCCACTTCCTATCGGCACCCCGTGGGTGGCTAAAACACTTGTCATGCAGGTGGTGGGCAAATAAGAATATGAATACAGCTACGGAAAGAAAGAAGAAAATTCATTAAAGAGAAACATGCTGAGCACACTGACCGTGTAAAGGAGAAAACCAAACCGATGCCGTTATTCAGAACTGCACACTACAATACCAGTGTGTATTTAAGAGCTTCTGAAAAGTTAATACTCCTTCTAAAATACTGACTAAATGGTAGATGATTTTTCACAAAGATTGTTTTGCAGCTAAGGGTCACATTCCTTATCTCAAAATCTATACTCAGTTCTGGATGGGACTCAATGAGAATTGATCCGGAATGCTGAAATTGTGAGCCAAGCCAGGGACATCACTAACACAGGAGAGCAAGTCTCCTACCCAGCTAACAGCTCCCACTAAATCCCTTCTGGGCTCTCCAGTTTTAAAGACATACAGGAAACATTATTAAACTATGCTGCAGGGGGGGCTGGCAGCCACTTCTGTAGCAAGGATGCTGAAGACATTTGATTTGCAGGAGGTTCATGTAAACTCAAGGACTTCGAATAGCAGGTAGTATCACGGACACCAAACTGCACCGGGACCCAGCTGGCTGTAGTTAAATACCATTCCTCCCAAGCAGCACCTCCTCGCCACTGACCAGGAGTTGGACTCACACTGGAAACACTGTTGGCCTGTGGGCTGCTGACTTCTGAGCTGAAGTGCACGCCCCCCAGCACCACAGGGAAGAGAAAGGCCCTCCGTCTTCATCTCCTTGCTATTCCATAAAGCCTATCGGTGGGAAGAGTGGCAACAGCCCAACTGTCCAGGCGTTTAGAAGAGTTTAAGAAGTTAAAGGTCTCTGCTGTCCCCTGGGATTAGAGAAGATATGTCGGAAAATTGGATAGGCAAAATTATCAGTGGAATGGGATTGAGTCTGAGTTCATGAATAAAGTCACCAATTGAAACTTTACTCACTTTGACACTGGTGTTCATAGTGCTTGGTTTAACTTATCATTGTTTAAAACGAGAACTAACCCGGAAAACAGAGTTTAATCAAATGATTATACAAGCAGAAGCAAGACAACGAGATAAGTCATTGAAAGATCCACCATCATATGACAATTTGGTATTCAATGAGACTACAATTTGAGTATGTGAAAGTATTGAGTATGATTATCAATACTTTCAAAGGGGGGAAATGTTGCAAATACCTTAATAAAACAGAATATTCTTTTGATTTTAGTTTAAAAGTATGATTTTGATTTAACATGAAGCTACAGTAGCTATGAGAATATAAAGTACACTAAGGCCCTTAGGAGTAAGCAACTAGTATGCTGTGTGCCTTGAACACTATAAGAATCGTTATGGACTCTGAATTAACACAATAGCTACTGGTTATGGATCCTGACTTGAAACAATAGGTATCAGAAGAAACTGGTTTGGTTGGGAAGATCGGCCAAGGGAAAGGTGAGCATTAGCCAAAGATGGAGTGAGCATGTGCAAGGATGGAGTTCAATCAGCCGACACAGTGATGAAGACTATCGACGAGCACCAGAGGACCCCCGTCCAGTATAACCACGCATGCGTTAGGGACATTGGCATATGATAATAATTCCCAGGAAATAACATGAATATGCTAATCATTGCCCTCCCCCCATTCTATTTAAATCAATCAGTAAAGATGACCAATGATTTCTGTAGAATAGGAAGAGAGGTAAGGTGAGGTAACTGAAAGCCAATCATTATAAAGGTCAACTTAAACTTTCTGAACTTTGTTGATCTCATGCAACTACGACTCTGCTGAAAAAGTGTATAAATATGCTGTGCTTTGTACCTGTCGATGAACACGTCTTTGGCGGAGTTATCCCCCGTGTTCCCCAGCGCTGGAATAAAGAAGTGCCAGCTTAGTCTGCTGTGTGTAGATAAGTTCTATTCACGATTGTGACCGCTAACACTACGATCATTTTGCACCCACGGAAATGAGTGAGGAACATCCAAACTGATGGAGAGCTTGGCCTTCAAGGTCAGTGCTTCCCAGCTTGACCAAGTGGTGCCAAATACTGCTTGGTGCTCCAGGAAAGCCGTTTTGGGAAATGAGTGTGGAGGCTGCTGCTGACCACTATCTTGTACTTACTCTGGTTGGGAAGTAACGGCTGGTTTTGAACTTCTTCAGTAAGCTCAACAGCACAAAGGTGAAGAAGAGGATGCAGCACCGGAGGAGGACATCAGGTGCGTAGGGGCCATTGTGTCCACAGGCAGGTCCTTGAAACACTCCATGCAAAGACCAACATTCCTGGAAAAACAGAGCGTCAGGACACAAAGGCAGCGCATGTGTGGCAAGGAAACCTCGGATAACTAGGGGGGTCTGAGTGTCTCGGTCCAAGATCCATGTCCTTGTGACTGCTGCTGCTGCGGCTGGAGATTTATAGGTAATGATCAGCAGCAGCTGAACGTGTGACACATCGAACTGCACAGAGAGTGGAGAGAGGAGATGTGATGGGACACCGTAACACAGACCCGTGGCACATCCTCCACTGCAACAGCAGGTAACCGTAGCTGAAGAAGACACCAGAGGGGAAGGAAATGCCGGAAACTCTTGGGGATAGAGCAAGAGGGAATACGGAAGGAGAGGTAAGGCAACCATGGTAGGAAAGGAGAAGAGACAAATTGTCCCTTCCCTGTGGAGGCCTCGCAGAACCTGGCCAAGAGGAGACACAGATGTCAAGAAGAACCTCCCGTCCTCTGCCTGGGCTCTGCTTCCAGCAGCAACAGCCCGAGAGGCTGCTCAGACTTTATGCACGTGCCTGCAGACAGTACTGAATAGGAAGGCAAAGCCTGGAGTTATTAGGAACCAATTAAGGAAGCCAATTACTACCTACAAGCATGAACTTTAGTCCTCCAACTGCTACAGGGATCAAACCACTCGCTTATCCTTGCTCCCAGTCAGAAATATTGTCTGGCAACAGGGTTGAGGAGGACAGTTATCTCCCCCAATGCTGGGGGCAGGCTGGACTGGGCAAGGTGGACTGGGCAAGGTGGACTCTCCTTCCCAGGACCAAGTGGCTTAAAACCACACGTTAGATTTAAGCAATGACTTTCCAGAGCAGCACTAGCCCAGGTTGAAGCCCATCAGCACCTGAAGGGCTCTGCCCTTTGCACCATGCAAATGTCCCCGGGCCCCATGGCCGCGGCGCGAGGAAGCAGTGGCTCGGGGCACTTACAGCCACCGTGAGGTCCTCCCTGGCAATGCCAGACACGCTGATCTTGTTACTCTCTCAGAAGCAGAGGGTTTCGTTGCTGGGATGGGTCGGTGCCTCACACTTGCAGCTGGGAGCAGAGAAGCCAAGACAAGGGTCAGGGGAAGGCAGTGGAGGTGCAGCCCTGAGCTCCTGCCGAGGGGCAGCGATGTTTCTGGAGGAAAAAACCCACTGGGAGGTGGTGAGCAGGGTGAGCTTGCTGTGCACGTGCACAGGGTAGGTCTCTCGCAGGTGACTCAGCTTCTCCAGAGCCTCGTTGATGAAGATGAAACAGAGAAGGGGGGCAAAGGCTTCTTCGGTGAAGCGGGTGGTGTAGCACACCGAAGAGCTGGCGTCGGTGGCCACCAGCACGATGCAGGAGAAAGCGGCCCACAGCCCGATGCACGCCCGCAGGGAGAGAGAGGAGAGCGTGTGCTCCCTGGGAAACCCAAACAGCACGAGGGGTGGAAAGGCCGGCACGAGGCTCCGAGCCGTGCCTGCCTGCGGGGAAACCTGGGAGCGATTTAGGAGCGTGTCCAGGCTGCGGAGGGGCAGGGCAGTTCCCATGGACATGGACAGCCAGCCTCGGGGCTGCGGGGCAGGCTGGAGCCTGCAGGAGGAGAGGCCAAGTATTTCATTACCGTTATTTGACAATTACCTTGTGCGACCACCTTGGAGGCCAAGTGAGGTCAGGTCCCTGGTGTGGAAGGTGGTGGTGGCCCCCAGCACCCTGATGCCCTGACATTGAAACCAGCGGGTTTTGCACGCAGTCACCTGCTACCAGCAAGCTGGGGCTTAATAGTAAATTTCATTGCAGTAAGGGTGGTTCATCTCACATCAAAGTCACCACCACAAAAGGACTGTCATGAAAACCCATTTCAAGTGAAAAGCTCCTCCTTTTTTAAGAAAATCATCAAAACTCAAAGTATTTCAGCAGAAAACTATTTGGATATTTGGGCAAAACATATTTCCACTCTCATCAAAAAGATTTGCTTCTCTCGGAGTACAAAAGGAAGTCTTGCCTCCTTCCCAAACCAGAGTGAGTCGTCTCATCTTCCTTGTGCAGCCCATCTTGGGCATCCGCATCCCTGTGGTTTCTCCTCCTCCCACTGCCACGCTTTAACCCTAGAAACCCCAAATGAGCCCATCCCCCCTTCAGAGACCGAGGGCTCTTGCACCATCACATACTAAAGCAGCAGTGTGCAATGTCTCTGGCACAAAAGACAACTTAAACCTAACAACTACCACTGAGAAAAATAGAAAAAAACATCTTTTCTCCACCGCTGATGTTTTTTAAGGCTCTCGCAGCCCCCACCCGCGGCAGGCAGCCTTACTTGCAGAATTTGTAAACGATCTTCTCAAACATGAGGACAGGTCTGGTGCTGCTGAGGAGGGCGAGAGGCCGGCCAGCAAAAAGGGAACACACCACACTGGCCAGGGACGCGCCCAGCAGTGACTCCCTGGCACTCTGTCCGGGGAAGAGAGGCAGCCGTCAGCCAGTAAATCATGAGGGAAAAAAACAAAACCAAAGCAAATTCACTGCACAAAGGACTTTGGCATGAGATTCATCCTCCCCCATGCCACCCAACCCAGAGAGGTGCTCACTGTGTGGCCACGGGTCGCCTCCCCCAGCAGTGCCCCGAAGGGGATGACGGGGGACATGCAGGCACAGCAGAGGAAGAGGAAGGATGCCAGACCTGCAGCCCCAGACCATCCCGGAGGTCACTCCAGAACCATGGGGCTTTCTACTTCACAGCCAGGATCAAACCTCCAAAGAGCCTGGAGAAAGGAAAAAAAACAGACTGTTCTCTTGGAAGAGCACAGTAGAGTTTGCTTTGCTGCAGAAGGGCCAGCACAAGCATCGCTAAAAGGAAGCACTCCCCTTCTCCCATTTTAGACCCAGTAGAAACTGAGGCACACACAAACCCCCTCCAACAGACACAACAAGGACCCAACCTGAGAGTCCATCCCCTCTTATTGCAACAGCCCCTTGCTTTGAGAAGCAGCAGAGCTCTCCCTGGAGGTATTTACACATCTGCTTCCACCCCAAATCAGGAAAACCTGTGTGCAGTGATGTTGTAGCTGAGCCCAGCTGCCCACATGTGCCCCCTGCCCAGCCCAGGGGACCAAGCTGGTAATGCGGAGCCCCTGCACTCAACCAACCAACCCCAAACACCTGCTTGAAGGGAAGGTGCCTTCTCAGATTTGGGAGGCAAACAGAAAAAATAACAAACCAAACCAAAACAAACTGTTAAAGCTCACACCTTCCTGTCTGCTCCAGCTCAGGACCGCTGTGTTTCTCCGGCTTGCTGTCATCAAGAGCTCCTGGAATCTTCCTTTTTTGCTGCTGAAATGGAAATAACATGGATTTGGAACCCCTGGCCTGTTCTGCTTCTGCTCTGGGTCTGTGACTGTGTCACACTGGCCCTTTTGGACTCAGGCCCCTGGAGAGCATCCCCAGGCGGGCTGTGTCCTGCCCGTCCCCCTCGTGCCTCCCTCCGCCGCAGCACCCACCCGTGAAGGGACATTCTTCAGGGGCTCAATTCGGGTCGAAGGATCCCACTCTCCTCATGGCAAGACCATGACCTGATCCAGAACTTGTCGATGCCGGCCACATCGTCAGCCCAGTTCTTGGCTTTACAGGCAACGTCATGGAAAACCTGCTGATAGGAGACAAGCTGGTGAGAGGACAACCCATCTCGGATGTCCTGACCCGTGCAACAAGCTCTTGGC